TTTTGCCCTTGGACTTTTTGTGAAATTCCAATTTTGCCCTTTGATATTTTTGGTGAGAGTTAATCTTGGCCGTTGATCTTAAGATAAGATTGAATCATGGCCGTTGATTGGAAAGTAGAGAGGAGGGTAAGATGGTCATTTTCCTAGGGGGGTAGACACCAATTATTGGTTTATTAAGCCTTTCTTCTCTCTCTTTCTCTCTCTCACCCTCTCATTTTCTCCCTCACGCCTACCCTCTCCCTCTCACTCCCTCTCGGCCGAGCCCCCTCTCCTTCCTCCCTTGACCGTGGCCGACCGGCCAAGCCAGCCGTCGCCGTCGTTCAACCGCCATGCCGGATAGCCGCCGCTCGGTCGTTCCCGATGCCGCGGCCTCGCCACCACCACCTCACCGTCTCACACACACACACTCTCTCTCTCTCAACCAGTCCTCTTCCTTTTCTTTTGGCCTTGCACGTGTGGCCGAGCAAGGCTGGTCGCCGCTTGTTCGGTCACCGTCCGCCGTTCAGCCGCCGCCGTCGCTGCCCGTTCGCCGTGAGACCGCCGGCTTGCCGCCCCCCCTTCTTGCCGAGCTTGCCTAGGACTCCAAGTGAGTGGCATTCTAAACCCTTCCTAGGACTACAGGTACTAACGGACTTGATTAGGGGCTGATTCGGGTTTATTAGTGGCTGTTTAGGGGTTAATTAGTGGCTGTTTAGGGGTTATTTTGGTAGGCTGAGTTGGGGGTTGATCTTGGCTGATTTGTGGGTGAAATTGTGATGGTTTCGGGGCTGACCATGGTGGATTTACATGCTGGAAATCGTGGTGTGAAATGATGAGTGTATGGTTCGATTTGGGGACTAAACGTGTCGGTTTGATGTGTGGTGTCGTGGCTGGTTTGTGTGATTATTGTGGCTTGAAATAGACATGAATATGTTGATTTTATGCTCATATTAGTGGCTGTGATTGTGGGTCTAGTGGCGACCTTGCATGCTCGTCGGATTATGGAATAATTGGTTGAAATGTGGACCCGTTTATATCAGCATGGGCTGAATTGGATTGGTTGGAAATTGGGCATGTTTGTGTGTCAATTGAGCATGTTCGTATGATGTTCGAGCGTGTGAATGGGTGAAAAATTTATGTGATATGTCGTGTGTGTGGTCACGAAAGTCCCTGAGGCGTGTAATGTAACGCGGGGAATTGAGCCGTCCTGAGGCGTGTACTTTAACGCGGAACGATGCTCGGTATTACCGGAAGACCGCCAACTTGAGGCATGTTCGTTTATGCGGGTTGTGCCGTAGGTGGAGGATGTTGAGCCTGAGGCGTGTATTGTAACGCGGGCAAGAGACATAGCCTGAGGCGTGTACTGTAACGCGGGCTAAGGAGTATTGTGAATTTGAGACGATCGTACGTGAACCGTGGATTGAAAGTGGACCTGAGGCGTAATTACGCGGGTTGTAGGCAAGTTTAATGAAAATAGTGTGGGGTGCGTGAACGAGTGTGTGTAAAAGGCGGAGTTTGGAAATGACATATGTTCGACTTTGTTTTTGGGCATGAAATTAATTTGAAATGTGAATGTGGTTAAGATTTGTGGAACTGAGACTAACATGCAGATTGTGAGTATTAAGAGCCCAGGTAAGTGCAATTGAGTGCATGTTGTGTGTTTAATGAGTGATATTGTGTTTGGTCTTGTCTGGAGGTACGTGTTAGCCTAGGTGGGGTTTAGGGTGTTTACTTTCTGAAACGTGTCTCATGGTTGTTAACCAAACCATTTCAGAACCCCGGCCTGAACCATGAATCTTCCACCGCCACCGCCTCAGCGTTTTGGCATACCGATGCACACCGATCATGCCGTGGTAGAGTACCCGATAGATGATAATATGGCTTGGATCAAGTATACCACCGTAGTCTGGGTAGATATAGACCAACCCCTTTGGCAAGCCCACACTTATACCGCCTGGTGTTTCCGGGATGGTATGGACGAGTTCGGTCCTGTTCGAGGTTTTGATGTCCCTTTTGACGGAGTGGGAGATTGGGATCCGTCGGCTATACCTCCTCCTGATGGGGAGATGACTAGCCTTGACACTAGCCTCGCACAGTCAGGACATCAGCATGTGCCTGCAGCACCCGAACCCACAGTGGCTGAGCCTGATCTGGAGCAGGAAGAGTCACAAGCAGGGTTCGACCCGATGGGTGTGGATTTAGGTGCAGTGCCAGAGGAGGAACCCGAAGAAAAAGAGCCCGAAGAAGAGCTTGAGGAGGAACCAGAAGAAGAGCCAAAAGAAGAATCGGAAGAGGAGTCTGAAGAAGAGGAACGAATTGAGGTTCCGTTAGAGTCGGGGGATGAAGACAACCTGATTGAGATCAAGGCGGATTCTGAGTCTTCAGAGGAGCAGGTGGCTCAGGGGGAATCAGATTCGGGTTCCAGGGAGACCGACTCGGAGTGGACACCGTCTAAAGGGCGTAGGGGTTAGTTTAGGGGTAGGGTAAACCCTTTTTGAAGTGTCCCATTTTTGGAGTTAGAATATACCCAGACTACTGGTCCTTTTTGATATCGGTGGTGTAAACTTTAGAAGCCCGGTGTGCGTGTATATTATGTGTATTGTAAGTGGTGTGAATTGTATAAGTTTGACTTGGTAATGAATATATATTCTCCCTATTATCCCTTTCTAAGTATTGTCTGGGTGTTTGTTGCTTCCGCTAGCGCTTTATCTCTGGTAGTGTAAGGTCGGCGACATCCTGGGACGTCGCGATATTTGACCAAAGAGGTATGTCGCGAGCTCGATAGGGTTCGGGGCGTGACATCCCGCGTTGATTTGGTATCAGAGCAAGGTTAGCTTGATCCAAGTTAGTCGAAGTTTGGAGTGATAAGGAGCGATGACTTTTGGGGTATTTGACTAGGGAGACCTTAGCGAGTCATAGGTGTGCAGCAAGCTACGCGTGCCTCCAGACTGTTTGTTGTGATTGCTGAGTGAATTGAGTGCTATAACGATTGGCATGCAGGTGCGTCTGGACCTGAGGTAAGTGCACAGACCTTATTGATTGTGGCCTTATGCTGTTGTGATTAATTACCTGCTGATTGAATTATTGTGTTAATTCGTTGCCTAGGACTAGATTGGTATAGTTGGCCTAGGTTTCCAATTCCTGAGTGGAATTATAGCAAGCAAGTGAGTGATAGAAAACAGTGAGGATGAGTTCGAGAGGTAGAGGAGTAAGAGGCCAATCAAGTTCGCAAGCCCAACCTGCGGGAGATCCGAGAATGGGTGTGGTCATGAGGACCCTAGAAGAGATTGGTAATCTGATAGGACAGCAGACTCAGGAACGAGCTGCCACTATTGTCCATGCTGCTGAGGCCGCTGTGGCCGCCGCGGGAATCAAGGGCAAGGACAAGTGAATGTGAATAGGCAGATGCATCAGCTAGTTGAGCAGTTTTTGAAATTAAAGCCCCCTAAGTTTGATGGTAAGGGCGACCTTGAGGTTTCATCGCTTTGGGTGGAGGAGATAGAAAAGGCCTTTGAGGTATTAGGGTGCACCGAGGAAGAGAAAGTGACCTTGGCGGTGTACCAGCTCCAAGGAAATGCAAGTGATTGGTGGAAAGCCACCAGAGGAAGGGTGTTCCCTGTTGGTGTCGCCCAGACTTGGGCGATGTTTGTGGAAGTCTTTAATGGTAAGTACTTTTCTGAGAGTGCCTGGGAACAGAAGTTAGCTAAGTTTATGAGGCTTTGTCAGGGACAGAGGACAGTGGATCAGTATGAGGCTGAATTTGCTCGGTTATCTAAGTTTGCCTCAAGGATGGTGGAGGACCCGTTGGATAGGGCTCAAAGGTTCTGAGACACTTTGAAGTCGGACCTTCACAGCCAAATGATTTCGCTGAATTTGAGGGATTATAACGAGATCTATGATCGGGCCCAAGCAATCGAACGTGACTTAGCGGATAAGGCTGCCGCTTCTGGGTCAAGATTTACCCCGGGTAGTAGGGGTGAGCGGTTCCAGGTTCCGGGTAGGTTCCGCCTGGAACCTGGAACCTACCCTCGGGTATAGGTTCCTCAAAATGAGGAACCTGGAACCTGGAACCTACCCTGTCACAGGTTCCAGGGTCGGTTCCAGGTTCCAATAGGTTCTTTTTTTATTATTTTATTTTTAGTTAATCAAAACGAAAATGAACATTCATAAAAAAGAATACAAAAGACAAATTATAGAAAAGTCACATTTTTCCAATGGTTCGGTGATCAAACATACAATCAACAAAATCACGGATCTGTGACAATGCACATTAGAGCATTTCCGGAACGCACTTCTCCACTGCAGTTAGCATAAGGCAAGGACATAAACCAAATGAGCTGAGTATCAGAAAAATCATCCCCAAGAAAATGCAACAGCCAAAAGTTTGATTGAAAATTAGAAAATTCAAGCGCTCGTTAAAGTTACCAATTGGAAAATAAGAGAAAGGTGACCAAGATAAAGACGATCTCGATTGCAAATTTTTCACACCCCCATAAATACAATCACCAAAACCGGGAAACTTTTTCACATTGAGGGTGCTGCTGCCAAAGACAAAACAGCAATAAGGATGATTGAAAGTACCATTATCAGGGAATGTGCCCGTGTGCCACACAGAAGCAGGTGTGTTTCATGAATCATTTAAATATTTGGCTGGCCTATGATGTAGACTCTTATGATTGTATACTAAGACCACAACAGTAATCATTTCTACGTAACAATAGAGAATACAAAAGCTTAGATTCTTCCAACCAACCTCATCCTGGCCTGCTCCATTGAAAGAAGCCCCATCACAGTACCGTATCCTTACTCTATTCCAATTGAAAAAATTTGCCAGCAAAGCATAATCGCTCGTATGACAGTTCCAATTTGAATAAACTATGGCAAAGAATCGTTTCGAGACAGATTGAATCGTTAATAGATTTTAAATACCAGGGATTTCTTCAGCTTTATTACTCAATATTCCTGTGAAAGCTACTTCCTTATCCATAAACTTTGATGAACCACGACGAGTAGTTTTCCCAATAACAAACTCACAAGTGATACTTAAGTTTCCAAAGAAAACAGAATCGACCAACCCAGGAACAACACAGAGCAAAACCAAGTCTCATATCTTCAACAAAAGACAGAAAAACCTCGCGAGCGAAGCAGGTTCCGGCACATTCGGCCACTTCAAATCAAGCCACGCCACCCGGCCGCAAGAATCAGAAACCCTAAATTTTGAATCATCCAATGGCGGTGCTCCGTCTCTACTACAGAAAACATCAAATTAAAGTTACTCGCCCGTGCCAAGAAGCACCCATTGCCACACACACACACACCACTCAGAAAGCTACTCACTTCGAAACCTTCTAATCAAAGTCCAGCACAAGAGATCGGAAAGCCCGGGAAAATTCCAAGCAAGAAACAGAGCAGAAAGCCCCCAACGAACGAAAGAACCCACCCAATCGCACAGAGCGAGCACAATGGAGGACGCGAGCGAGGGAGGAAGAGCGCACGCGCAAAAGGGTGTCCGCAGATTGATTCAAAACTCCGACCCGCGAAGCCGGCGGGGGATTTCAAGAGGGCCGGCGGTGCCCGACGGGAGCAATGGCGGAGCCGAATCTTGGGCACGCGCGCGCGCAGAGCTTTGGACACCCAGCTGGCCGATGGAGGCGGAAGTGGAAGCAGGAGCGACCGAGCGAGGAGCAAGGCAGAAGCGAAAGCGGGAGCGAGGCGGAAGTGGAAGCAGGAGGGACAAGATGGAGGGACAAGGTGAATTAGGGTTTCTAAATACCAAATGTGTAGTTTATATTTTAATTTTTAGGGATCCGGTTCCTAGTCCCGGTTCTTGGTTCCGGTTCCGGTTCCCGGTTCCGATCCAGTTCCAGTTCCGGTTCCGGTTCCAAGTTCCGGTTCCTAAAAATGGGGAACCGAGAACCGGACCCTCTGTCCATAGAACCTGGAACCGAACCGGACCCACCGGGTCCGGTTCCCGGTTCTACTCTGGAACCGCGCTCACCCCTACCGGGTAGGGACAATCGCCACTTCGGGAAGAGGCCAATGGCGAGTAATCGACGTTTCGTCCCTCCTGTTAGAAGGAATATCGGGAAACCGAACCATTTCCAGAATGATCCATGTCGGATGTGTAGGGAAAGACATGGAAATGGACCTTGTCCGAACAGGGGCGGAGCCTGTTTTGAATGTGGCGGGTTTGGCCATCAGATAAGGACTTGCCCTAACATCAGGCATAATAGGTCGCCTGCGTTGCTGCCACCCCGGAATGGGAACCAAATTGGAGCTGCCCCGTCGGCTAATCATAATAGGCCACCGGTCCAAGGACGGGTGTACGCCATGGCAAGGAGAGAGATTGAGAACGCGCCAAGGGTGGTCACAGGTACGGTTTCTCTATGCGATCATGCTGCATATGCTTTGTTTGACCCTGGGGCGTCACATTCGTTTATATCAGAATAGTTTGTTAAATTGACTGGTATGGAGCCACAATTGCTTGACGTTGTGTTGTGTGTCACCACTCCATTGAATGATAACGTGCTAGTCTCATTAGGGTGCCCGAATTGTAAGATTGTGATTGGTGATAGGGAAGAAAGGATAGATCTAGCGGTTTTAGCCATGTATGACTTCGATGTGATCGTGGGTATGGATTAGTTAGTTAAACAGAAGGCTGTTATGGATTGTAGTAGCAGGGTGATCCAATTTAATCCGGTTAAACATCTGAAATTCGAAGTTGTGGGAAATCGAGGAGGAATCTCGATCCCTTGGATTTCATTGCTGGAAATGACTAAGTTGTTGAATGAAGGGTGTCAAGGATTTCTAGCGGCTGTAGTTGATTCGACGGTTGAGGAGCCGAGGCTAGAGGATATAGTCGTGGTGTGCGATTTTCCCGATGTCTTTCCTAAGGAATTGCCCGGATTGCCACCTGAAAGGGAAGTGGAGTTTGTAATCGAGTTGGCCCCTAGGACTGAGCCAATCTCGAAGGTACCTTATAGAATGTCGTTGTCAGAATTAAAAGAGTTAAAGGTGCAAATGCAAGAATTATTGGACAAGGGTTTCATTCGTCCAAGTGCGTCTTCATGGGGAGCGCCAGTCTTATTTGTGAGGAAGAAGGATGGGTCATTAAGGTTATGTATTGATTACTGGCAGTTAAATCAAGTGACGATCAAGAATAAATATCCCCTGCCAAGGATAGATGATTTGTTTGATCAGTTACAAAGGGCTTCGGTATTTTCTAAGATTGATTTGAGGACGGGATATCATCAGTTGAGGATTAGGAAAGAGGACATACCGAAAACGGCATTCAGGATGAGATATGGACACTATGAATTTACAGTAATGCCGTTCGGATTGACAAACGCCCTTGCTGCCATTATGGACTTTATGAATAGGGTATTTAAGGAGTTCTTGGATCAGTTTGTTATAGTCTTTATAGACGATATATTGGTGTACTCGAAGAGCTCGGAAGAGCACGAGTTCCATTTGAGTAAAGTTTTACAGACCTTAAGGGAAAACGCATTATACGCTAAGTTTAGTAAGTGCGAGTTCTGGCTCCATCGAGTAGCATTTCTTGGACACGTGATCTTTGGGGAAGGAATCTCTGTAGATCCAGCAAAGATTGAAGCTGTAATAAAGTGGCCAAGACCAACGACGGTAACGGAGGTCCGAAGCTTTCTGGGGTTGGCAGGATATTACCGACGTTTCGTGGAAGGATTCTCGGCAATAGCAACACCTTTAACACATTTGTTGAAAAAGGAAACAATGTTTGAATGGACAGACAAATGTGAAAGGAGTTTTCAAGAACTAAAGCATAGATTAACAACGGCGCCGGTATTGACTATTCCATCAGGACCAAGAGGATATGAAATTTATAGTGATGTGTCATTGAAAGGACTGGGGTGTGTACTCATGCAAAATGGACGAGTAGTAGCCTACGCATCAAGACAGTTGAGAACGCATGAGTTGAACTACCCGACGCATGATTTGGAATTAGCCGCAATAGTATTTGCCCTTAAGATTTGGCGACATTATTTATGTGGAGAAAAGTTTCGGATATATACGGACATCAGAGTTTGAAATATTTGTTTTCTCAAAAGGAGCTTAATATGAGACAGCATTGTTGGATGGAGTTACTTAAGGACTACGATTGTGATATTTTGTATCACCCCGGAAAGGCCAACCGGGCAGCCGATGCATTGAGTCAGAAATCAAGCATCGCGCACTTGATGGTCAAGGAATGGACTTTGTTGGAAGGAGTGCGAGACTCGGAGTTTAAGTTCGAAGTAAGTCAAGTCTCGAGCTTGTTTGCCACCTTAAGAATCAAACCAGAAATCCAGACTAAGATTAAGGCCTTACAATCTACGGATCAAGAAATTCAAAAGATTTTGGAAATGAATGCTACCAAGAGGAAGTCGGACTTTCGAGTATCCGAAGACGGGATATTGAAGTTCCGTGGATGGTTGCGCATGCCTGACGAAGCGAAACTTAAGGAAGAAATCTTGTCGGAAGCGCATCGTAGTAATTATAGTATCCATCCGAAAAGTATGAAAATGTATCAGAATTTGAGACAGTACTATTGGTGGAATGACATGAAGGTGGACATAGCTAAGCACGTGGCTAAGTGCCTGACGTGCCAGCAAGTGAAAGCGCAACATTGTAAGCCCGGAGGATTGTTGCGACCTTTAGAAATCCCAGAATGGAAATGAGAACATATTACTATGGATTTTGTAATGGGATTACCAAGGAGCCAAAGAGGCCATGATTCCATTTGGGTGATTGTCGATAGATTGACAAAGTCAGCGCACTTCTTGGCCGTACGAAAGGACTTCGCATTGGATCGGTATGCTGAGTTGTACGTACAACAGATAATTCGTTTGCATGGGGTGCCAGTGACGATTACTTCAGATAGTGATCCTAGGTTTACCGCCAACTTTTGGAAAAGTCTGCAGACGGCGTTAGGATCAAAGCTGCAGTTTAGTACAGCTTACTATCCACAAACGAATGGCCAGTCTGAGAGGACAATTCAAACTCTAGAGGATATGCTTCGGGCGTGTGTGTTGGATTTTCAAGGCAAGTGGGAGGAACAATTACCCTTGATGGAATTCGCATACAATAATAGTTTTCAGCAGAGTATCGGGATGGCGCCATTTGAAGCGCTGTATGGCAGGGCCTGCAGAACGCCCGTATGTTGGGACAAAGTTGGAGAAAGGAGTATAACTGGGCCAGAATTAGTTCAACAGTCAGTTGAGGCGGTTAAGATCATTCGTGAAAGGTTGAAAACAGCTCAAAGCCGTCACAAGAGTTATGCAGACAGAAGGCGAAGACCTTTGGAATTACAAGTAGGGGATCACGTATTCCTTAAGGTATCGCCCATGAGAGGATTATCCCGATTTGGCAAGAAAGGGAAGTTGAGTCCGAGGTACGTGGGACCCTTTGAGATTTTGGAAAGGATTTGAGACTTAGCTTATCGCCTTGCATTACCGCCAAATTTGTTGCAAGTGCATAATGTATTCCACGTGTCGATGCTGAGAAAATATGAACCGGACCCAACTCATGTGTTAAACTATGAAGAGATAGAAGTTGACGACAGGGTGTCATATGTCGAAAGGCCAATAAGGATCGAAGATCGGAAAGAACGAGTTTTAAGGAACAAGACGATCCCGATGGTCAAAGTTGTTTGGGAACATCACGGGACAGAAGGCGCGATTTGGGAAAGTGAGGAGCTAATACAACGTCAATACCCCCACTTGTTTGAGTAGTTGGGTTAAATTGTAAATTTGGAGGACGAAATTTTTATAAGGGGGGAAGAGTTGTGACATTCTGAAATTCGACCCACTTGGGATTTATGAAATGGATGATTTTATGGACATGCTTGTAGTTAGATCTCGCCCAGAACTGATCACTCATGGGATACTAACCGTTAGGGAATTGCTAATTAGGGATTTAAAATTCTCGCGACCAAAGAAACTCGATCGTGAACCAACTTTCAACCATAAAAATTGTCGAGGTGACATTTTGAGCCAATGTAGGCCGATCCAAGGATAGTTAGGGATCAATTCGCAGCTGTCATGTGAGTGGATCGCGGGTGATTCCGCTTGACCACGAGATGAGTTGACGAATGACCCTAAACCTATGCCAAACGATCACGGCCGTCGAAACTAGCGATCGATCCTCACGATTACATGACAACCGAGGTCGTCACGATCCGAGTGAACTTAAACGTGGCTTGATTCAGTATCAATCATGGGTCGAATATGCGAATTTTCCAAAAGCCACCCGTTAGTTTGAGATACGCTCAAGTTATGTTATTTAAATTTAGTCATTAATCAGATACTAAGTTTGGGCATTGGAAATTTCGAAAGTCACGACAGGATAATTGGACGACGTTGTTATTAGCTTGGTCAGCCTCAGAATTGTTCGGATTCTTTAGAAAATTTGAATTTTGGCAAGAAATGGAAAAATGACCGTTTTGCCCCTGGGACTTTGTTAAGGCCAAGTATATTGTGAGAAGGGCATTTTGGTCATTTCACATCAACTTTAGAGATAAAAAAATTTGGACAATTTTGCCTTTGGACTTTTTGTGAAATTTCAATTTTGCCCTTTGATATTTTTGGTGAGAGTTAATCTTGGCCGTTGATCTTAAGATAAGATTGAATCATGGCCGTTGATTGGAAAGTAGAGAGGAGGGTAGGATGGTCATTTTCCTAAGGG